GAAGTCATAAGATTTTAAGAACCACTTTCTTGTTTATCATGTATTTTTGTAGGCATTATATACAACAACAAAAATCATATAATAAAGCTAAAATATAAAAACGGAACAACACTAAAATTAACTCTAAAATTAAAAAGAACCACAAAACAAAGAAAATGTTAAGGTAATAAAAATAAAGATTATAAACACGCAGTGAGCTAAACTCGGTCAAAGCCGACTATTTGCGCAAAAAGGTAAAATAATAGTAAATGCTAAACTATAAACAGCATATGGAATTTTTCTATAAATATATGGATATAAAAGGAATAAAAATTTGTTCTAAATATAATAATGAATACCTTTTTAATGGTCGAAAGATCACAATGAATGAATGAAGAAACAAGGAGTGAAGTGACATAAGAAATAGATCTGTCTTTCCCATAGTACGTTTGACAGAATCATATAAGCGACATTTAAAAGATTGATAGTACGCTTGACAGAATCAAATAAGCGACATTTAAAAGATTGATCTTATGAGAATTGGCTCAGTTTGAGTATTAGCTCGATTTATTTGTGGTTTTGCAAACCTCTTATATGTGATATTTAAAAGATTCATGCTGTTATAATTTGTTTCATGTGATCATCGTGTGAAGTGTTCAGTTTATGGATTCACTCTAAATTCCAAGCGTTTGGTATGTATTTATCTAACCACATTTTGAATAGCTATAGCATAGTTATAGGCAGTTCTTCGCTATCACCTTTGAACAGCTTGGCCGCTAAACCATAGGCACCTGCAACTTTATTGTTTTTGAGCCGCATTATAGCTATTTTCACTAAACTCTTTAGTATTCATTTGTGGGACTAAAGTCATTTATTTATTAAAGTAGCGAGGCATAATGATTATTCTATCATCAATAATGGAAAATTCGAAGCCAGCTGCGTTGTCAGTCCTATCATTAGTATTGCCATGTAATAGATTCGAGGATCGATTTCTCCAAATGTAAACCATAAGTTGGACATCGATCACCAGATTTCTATTTTTATCATCGCAGGAATCAACTTCGGACTTATAAACAGTTGTCAATCATTTGACATTTTAGTAGAGTTTTTGTGTCATAATCTTGTCGTCCATTTATTCAAGTTCTATAAAATCACGTTTTTTTTGCTTACTTCTTTTTTCGCCTGAAAGAGGTTTCTTACCCGTTCCCGATATCATGCTTTAACAAAGCGCGTTGTAATCTAAAATATTATTTTTAACTTAGGCTCAGTTGGTGTAATTTTCTACTCATAAAAAATTATAAATTTCAAAATTTTTTGTAAAATAATACTAAAAAAAAGTACTCGGGATAAAATATATGTTTTCGAATTAAGATTTTTTAGAAGTCACCAAATATAAGTGATTACCTACCGCAAACAAAAAGGTAATTAAAATCAGATCCTTTTGCAGAGTCCTAGGATAAGTTATTTTTTATAGATGCATATAAAAAAATCACTCAAATCACACACAACAACATTCGAATTGTAGCGCAATCAAAGGGAAGCCGTCAATTACATTCCACGTTTAACAATAACAAAAATACACGTTATGTGTGGGATTAAAACAAAAAATGAAGTGTAATTTCAGTTTATGAAGAACAATCAGAAAATGTGCTATGACCAACAAGAACATTATGACCCTGCACGCATCCTTCCGGACAATTGATGGTTGTCATTCGTTTTCATTGTGTTTGCCTTGACTCAAACATGACATTAGCCGTTTTCCCTTTGCATGCACTTAAAGAGTTTACATTTGTTTAGGAAAAAACCAAACCCAACCAAACTAAACCTTATCAAAAAGAAAAAATAAATAACTAATAAAATGAAAAAAAGAAAAAAACAAGAAATAATAACAAAACAAATAAAAAGAATACAAAACTCTATGAACAAACAAACACATATGAACTCGTTAAAATTTGCACTCATACAATCTCAGTTGAAATAAAATATAAAAATGGACATTAGAATTGGGCTTATGGGACCACAAAAACATTTTTATACTTATTGCAGTTCCGAAACATCGCACGCACACTTCCACATTAACCCATCGATGTACACATATCTGTTTTTGGAGTACAGTACATTATGTTGCGGACTACATAATGTAGCAGAGGACAGAAGCGGTAACAACATTGCTTGAAAATAATAACATAGCCATAATGTTGGAAAAACAACATAAAAACAAAGCAAAACCAAAAATATTGTTAAAAATAAAAATTAAAAAAATCACACAAAAAGCA